AAATGAACATTAAACAACAGTTGGCTAACATCACTAGTCAAACTGAAGTTAGTTGTGAATGGTGTCTGCTTTATGTAACCGTTAGCTACATTTCTTTAGCTGGGTTAGACATTTGCCAACAGCAAACTAAACTAGCAACCCTATAAAGATGTAATTTTGTGGCTTCCCCAGATGGAGCGGATGGAGCGGCTGGAGCGGACAGCGGACGGAACGGACGGAGCGGGTGGAGCGGATGGAACGAATGGAGCAGAAGACGCTGATCCCTCTCGCAATGCTAATTTTTGCACCATTTGTGTTCCTATATTTCTTATTATTTCCATAGTTATGTCATATCTTTTTGCAATTTCCAATGCCAAGCTTCATTCAGCTCAACACAAGACTAAAGAACCTACAAGGAATCAAACAAAAGCCACCGAAACTTGCCGAGCGCAGGGTGCTCATACGCTGTGATAGCTTTTCCCGTGCCGCCAAACTACGCCAAACTTGCCACAGCTTTGCCCAAAACCACATGCCACATGCCGCAGAGTGTCTCATGCATTGGATTGATCCAATCCACAACCCTCTTGCCCAAGCTTTCTGATACCATTCCAGCTGCCCAAACCACTGCCGGGACGAGCTTGTCCTGCACCAAGGTGATGCTTTTGGTCGTTCAAGTCTGCTACCACTTGCCTGGATCATGAGAGTGTTGAGGCCCCAGAACAACCTGCAGCATGCTTTGTCACATGTATCACATATGCGCAAGGCTGCGGTGCGCTCAAATGCTAAAAACTTGAAGCTGAGGCTCTGAAAGAAAGCAGCCACAACAAAGAATGTGGCGACTCCAAACCGAGGATTCTCCACGTCACGCCCACTGACCTTGCAGCTAACAAGCAGAGCTTTTGCTCAGCCCAAGCCAGGCATTTCAAGCAATTGCGCCTGCAACAGCGAGAGGCCAAGTACCACAAGATTGCCCAAGGACATTCCTGCACTGCAAGTTGCGAGGCCCATGTGCCAAGGACCCGTTTATCAATCGCAAGTCCTACTCCAACTGCTTTGGTGCAGGGTGGCGGATGCCGCATGACCAATGACCTCAATGTCAATACGTTTGTCGCCAACCCTTTGCACTGTTGGAAGTGTTTCGATTGATTCCCAACATCAAGCTGTCAAACAGTCCATGTCAAGGAGGGTTGTGACATGTGTATATCTATCTGCGTATGTATACAGTATATATATAATAATACAACCTTACAAACATGATATATGATATGTTTATATACGCGCCTCCATGCGCTTTCTACACTGAACTTGTTTCAAAGACCGCGTCCAAACTGCCTACGCCTCTGCTCTTGGCATTCCCAAGGGACCAGTAAGTGAGGTCGGACAAACAGCCGAGCCCACCAGCGAAAACTGCTAGCGACAGCAGCCAAATACTGGCGCCTCCAAGTTCGCGGTCCTCAGGAGGCAACGACATGCCCAACCCATGGTCCCATAGAAGAATCAGCCAAGAAGCCCAAAACATCGCCAACAACATCAGAATGATCAAGGACATCTGGTGCATTCCATTCACCATTATGCTAGCCTTGGCGCGTTGGCACTCACGAAGACTAACAAAACGCCTCTAAACCCAAACAGTAGACGATGCTGATATCATTCGCTGCCCATGCTACGTCAATTGCCCCACAGTGGTGTTCAATAACCTTGTAGCTGATGGAGAAAATATTGCCTGGGAGGATCAAAAACCAAGAACCTTTGTGATCAGGCTGCTGTATTGCAAGACAGTCTGTGCCGGCGTGAATTACAATTATATATATATATATTCAAAACTGCACCACGTGTGACAGGCCAACTTTCTGTCCGTATCCTTTCTGCTTCGCCTGCTTGGACCATCATGGAGAGGTGTGTACCCAGTGCTTGGCCCTCTGGCAAGCGATCAACCAACAATGGAAGTTGTGCAAAAATTGCGTTGCCAACCCACCAACTGCCTCAAATGGCAAGGCGGCGGAAACTTGAGGAATTTGCAGTTGCCATCCACACTTTAAACGATCGAACCTTTGCCGCCATGCCAATTTGTGCACATGACGCGATGCTCTGAGATGAGTTGCTCATGCCGAACCTGAGTTTCGCAATAGTATTGCTTCAAAGCGCACCTCAATATTGAACAATCCCAGACTTGACAAGCTATTGGGCAGGAACCAACACTTGATGAAGCTGTGGCAACAAACTTGCAAGCACTGGATGTTCAACATGTTTGCACTACCGGATGGCGCAACATCAAGTACAGCTCAAGTCTTTTTGATGTGTCAAGTCTTATGAGTTGAATAGAGTATAGACATGTGAAGACCAGCTAGGCTACGCGGTAAAGAGGAAGGTGGTGCCAATGCTGATGCCGCCCTTTTCTTCTTCATAATGACGATGGTGACTCTCATGCGCTTGTGCCTTGGAATGGGGACAAAGCTACAATCCGAAACATCTATCTATCTATCTATCCATCCATCTATCTCTCTCTCTCTATATATATATATCAAAAGGCTGTTCAACATAATTTGCGCACCCACTCTACACTAATCACTGAGACTTCTTGTTCTTGTTGTTGTCTGGTTACGAAAGAAACGACAGGAACCCCTGCTGAATTCATATAAATTGCAATACAATGTCACTATATATTCATATATATACATACATATATATATATTCTATCATATTCTATCATGATACAATTTTAATGCAACAAAGTCCTGATTCAAGCACTGTCCAAACTCTTTTTCACGCTGCTCATACGTCATATCCTCTCCGCTAGTCTCCTCTCCTCCACCACTTCTTTCTGTTTCTTTTCTTGTTCTTTCTTTCTCTGCTCTGCTTATTCCTTTTGTGGCTGGTTGGCAGGGACAAAATCCACTTACCTCAGCAGTTAGCATCTCAAAACAATGAAGTTCTTCTAGGGGCTGACTTGCCATCGCCAATGTAAGGTGGGAGCACAACCCCGTCTGCTCCATCCACAGGTGGTTGAAAAGGAACACACTTGTTCTCAGCTAAGGTCAGACAACTTCTGGTGCTTCCTTGCCTGATGAGTTGCATTGGGGGTTTGGGCAAACCATGCGAAAGGTGCAGGCGCGCGAACTTTGAGGTTTAACACGTTTCCACATATATTGTTATATTGTGATCAATCTTCCACCTTTTCATCGACAGCTTTCCTGCCCACGCAGGAGCTGCGCCAAGCAGCTTCTGTGCAGGCAAGTCGAATCCCGATTGCGACAGCAGTTCTGTGTGCTGCTGCAAGTTCTTCATTCACAAGCACTAGGCATGTCCACCAAACAAAAGGTTGTGACATGGCCTAAAACGGACAAAGAACAACTCACTGTCCAACGCAAGACCTGTTGGAACTTGGTGGTATGTGCTTCCTGGTCTTGCTGAGAATGCTGGGGCTGTGAGGATGCAAGCAGCTGTGGCCTTGAAGGCGTTTCCGGTGTTTTTCTACACCAAACAACATCAACATATTTCAACCTCACTACCTTCTTTTGGGCACCCTTAGGCGGTGGAAGACGACATGATGACTCATCATGGGCAACCCAATGCAATTGAAACCTACAAGTAGGGCCGGGCGTTGTGCGTTATTTTGCTTGGCGTCGCTTGACTTCCACCGTGAAAGAACTCATGCATCTTTCTGAAGCAATTATTGGTGGGCAATTCGCATCCGTAGCCATTTGGACTCTGCTACTTCCTGGGCAACAGTGCTTTCCACGTCACTGTTGCCACTGGTGGCCTCGACTAAGCCATTACAGCCAAGTTATAGCAATGTTATCATGCTAGCTTGTACTTACGTGCTAGTGACTTGTCGACATTTCGAGATCCTGCTCAAATTTCTTCTTCATTCCTGGCTCGTCCTATTTCTTCTTGTTCTTTGCTCTTCATGGTCTTTCCATATGTCAGTGAGTGCATTCCCGTCCGCAAGATACCTAAAGTACAAAGAACAGCACGAACAAATACAAACAACAACAACAACTATTTCAAGAAACCATTGTGTAAATTATCTTGTTCATAGTTCTAAACCAACCCGCCGCGCTCCTTGCCTTCGCCAGAAAGCTGGAGCCACGGTGAAACTTCTTTGATCGCTCAATATACTTCTTTCTTCTGTTCTCTCCCATGGCACGAAGAATGTGGAGCAAGCTGCATCGTGTGCTGCATTAGTGCGATGCAAATTGCATCTCGTAAATTTTTTTTGTCAAGCCTTACAAATGCAGATGAACCCTAGATTGGTCAAGCAAAGAGCTGGTATGGTGCTTGTAAAATGGAAGGCTCATGGCAATGGATGAAATGAGGGCTCGCCACTGTCTGCAAGCACACTCCCAAAAACTGAAACTGCCTCTGTGATTGGAGAACTAAGTCCACCTTGAGAACTTTCACCAGCAGAATCAAGCAAGGCGCACACACATGTACCTGAGCCCTTGGACACCCCTTGCTTAAATCCTATTTGCCCTTTGGGCTGGTTCAGCTGAGAGCCACGTGTTGCAAGCAAAGGCACTTTGCAAAGGGCCAAAGCATCCACAAACAAAGTGCGGCTTGGAGAGCCCTCTGGCACCTTGGACAATGGCTCAGTCTGTTGGCACTGCTGCAGCTGCCACTTCTTCCTCTCTTTAACTTAACTGTCCGAGACCACTTTTAGCGCAACTGCATGAACACTGTCTGCTTCAAAGAAACGACTCTCTTCTCAAACACATTGCAATCTTTGGCAAATGCAATCGGGCGAGTTTTGACCCACGGCCTTGAAACTTTTGAATCAACTCTTACATTTCACTAGACATATAACAAAATCCAACGGCCAACGACCCATGATCATATAGTTATGTAACAGTAACATCTTTCTCCAAACAAGGGAAATTGTTGTTGGTCATTTTGATCTTCAATGTGTTCCATGCTACTATTTGATGTTCCAGGCTGGGTTGCGGCAACTACGTCTATGGTTGCCTTGCTCAGTATGTACACCACCTCCTAATACAACCTTTTCCATGCGCGAGTCATCTGTCTCATGTGTGGCAGTAAGTCACCACAGAAAAGGTGATGACCTGAGTGTTCGACAGCGATGCAGTACATGGAAAAAGTAAAGACCGCTTGGCTCTTCCCCGACGAAAACCACAAGGCCTGTCACAAGGCGCTTGAGAACAGCCTTGATGCAGCAGTAACCTGCTTGTGGACTTGGCCCAGCAATCTCTCAAGGCACGCAACTTTCTTCACTCGCTGACAAAGCCAAAGGGCGTTTGCGGACAAAGCTCCCATTTGCCTTAGCGGCGGAAGCCCAACAAATGCCGTCAAGTGTTCGGTCTGCAGTGCGTGCGTAACGCGTGTCTTTGATTCTGCGGAGTCGGTCGTGTCAACGCAAACATTGTTATTGCTTCGAGGTGTTGGTTCAGGACCCTGGACACGCTCTAGCGTTTGGTCCATGGATCTTCAAGAACAGACCAGCCTTGCAGCGCTCCATTTTTTCAGCGCCTTGCGGCCAGCATGCTTGCGCACACCCTCCCTTGAAGGCGTGAAACGGCAGCGAATGAAGGATGTAAGGATGTCACACGTCAAGACCGTCACGCGTTCCACTTTGAAGGCAGGTCAACTCTTGTGTTGACTGTGGCATCCTCCTCCAGCTTCCATTCTCCGCGCAATCTCTTGCCTCCTTCAGTGAGATGGGCGGTTTCCGCCGCTTTGTCATGTGGTCTGCCTTCACTTTGCTTGGCACCCAATTGAAAGTCTATGAAAGTCTGACAGTTTTGCCTCAAAGCTATATCGACTGTGCATTCAGCGAAGCATGTTGAGATCCTTTGGATTGCGTCAACGAAGGAACGGGCGTCAGTGGGTAGACTGGTAGCGGGGGTCGCCCTGATCCTGCAGTAGGTGCTCCTTTGCACCATTTAAAGGTGCACTGTGGCGTTCACAGGCCTCGGCAGCTGATAGCGCCACATGCGTGGGAGCGCCAGTTGCAAGCGCAGTGTCCAGCGGGATTGGTCGCGCATCATCATTTGACGACCCGACCACGGAAACACAAGTCATGCCTGACTTTTGTCGAACTGGAGGCGGTGGTGTAGAGGTCGCGTTCGTCTGTCAGTCTCACCGTCTGACCCCCATTGGTTAAGTGTCCGGCTGCTCTGCCAGGAGCCCATCGTCTCATCCCGATGGAACAGGTCCACCTGATCATGCTCTGGGGTCTTGGAGGATTGGTGTGGCTCCAAATCCGCACCTAGAAGTAGCTCTGCCGCTGAAGCCGGTGAAGCCAGTGAGGCATTTGAGGAAGGAACCGTTGGGACAACTGCCCCGCTCGGTCACTGCGACCAGTGACCAGTGACCAGTGTGGGAAGATGAGACTTTTGGGCGTGAAAACGAAATTGTCCAGGTTGTTGAGGTTCTGAACCAAGAGCCCCTCATCATACAATGTCTCGCAACCCTCTGGCGCCAAAGCCTGGCAGAATCTTGTAAAGGACCAAGGTCGTCGTTACTGAAGCAAGGTGCCTTGTAGGTCGTCACGTAAGCCCTGGGTTGAGGGGCAACCAAGGCAGTGATCATTGATCATGAGCGAGCCTTGGCTGCTGTTGCGCTGACTTCCCTTTACCCTTGGCTTCGGCATGGTTGACAGCGCTTACCTCCTTTACCTTTGAAGCTGAGAAGATGAAGAAAAGGTTTCCCTTTGAAGCCTTTGCCAGTGTTGCCCTTCTTGCCTTTGTTCTTGCCTTTGGTGCTCATGTCACAATACCATGCTTTGAAGTCGCTGTCAAAGCTTCGTAATTTGAAGCCTCGTGGTTGGCCTCCTCATTGGAACCTCCTCCTTTGCTCAGGGAGCTGCCCGCAGACGAAGCCATCTTCCACATGGGGAACTGCGTGCCAAAGTACTTTTCGGCGAAGTGCTCCTCTTCCCCAGCTCGCCAAGTCTCCCACGCGTCAGCTGTTGTTCATCACCGGCCATGAGGCTGATCTCTGCAAAGTGTGCCCACTCTTCATTGAGAGCTTCCAACCTCGACCTCTACCTCGTCCGCCACACCGTCCTAGAAAAGGAGGCGCTGTGCTAGAAAGCTGCATGTTCCTGGTCTGGTCGCAGCCCTCATCACCGGTCCGGTGCCAAAGCCACTGTCAGGCTGCCAGCCTTCGGTCCTCCATCATGTAGTCGCTCGAGGGATCTACCGTTCCAGGTGTGCGCTACCAATGTTGGTTTCGGAGCTTGGTTTGGTCCATGGGTCTTCAAGAACAGTAGACCTCATCCTTGCAATGCAGCGCTCCATGTTTTCACCGCCTTGCGGTCAGCATGCTTGTGTATACCCTCCCTTGAAGGTGTGAAACGGCAGCGAATCAAGAGTTCAACGATGTCACATGCCAAGACCGTCGTGCGTTCCACGTTCAACGTGGGGCTCATTTTTGCGCAAGCGAGCAACATGCGAACATAACTACGCAGTCTGGGGTTTTCTCGAGAGCGCGGCAAACACGAAAATACACGAACATCATCCATGAAAACGCGAAAATCATGAAATCCCGAAAACGATCGAAAACGGCTTTCTAGTTTTCTCGTGATCTATAATATATCCATCAGGTCGTGTAGTTGCGACCAGCACTTGGTCGCCCTTGCCCAGGTTTTATCAGCTTTGAAGCCAATCAGCCTTTAGTGAGAAAAATTTAAACTGTGACATGAGTCACACGAGTACTTACTAAAAACATGTTGTTGGTCGGTGCCAAAGGTTTGTTGCCGCGGAAGAAATACAACAACAGCTCTGCAGAGCTCCACGGTATGGAACTCGGCCCCCGTCCACGACAAGGAGCTCCCATTTCCGGAACAGGCTTTGCTTCCATGCAGGATCTGATCGAATAAACTCGACATACATCCACGTAGAAAGCAACCATGGAGCAATTTCATCATTCACTATCACACGCGACGCATGTTAGGATGGTATTGACACACTAGTTTGATGCACTTCAGCTTCAGGGCAGGGAACCAACAACCCAAACCTTTAGTTAGGTCTAGCGCAAACTATTGTTGGACCTAGCTCCATGCGGTGGTCTCAGCAGGAAAGAACACCTCGAAGTAAGCAAAACATCTGCTGAATTTGAAGGGTCCAGTTTTGGTGCTTCGCATTGCTTCGCACTCCGTGTTTCGCACCTCCCGGTTCGGTTCGCCTCCTTCCGATTCTGTAAAACATGTTTCACGTGGTATTGCCATTGGCAGAGTCAACACCCTAGTAAACACAATTGAAAAAGAGCGGCTCTTGGTATTGGAATCCGTTGGCACGCGTTGTGCCTCAAATTGATGCGATTCTCGTTGTTTGTAGGTCGACCAGGCGAATGACTGGCTCAGCTGCTTTTGAAGCCTTGTGTGCCACAGCGGACGGATCTGCGGAGGCAAGACTTCTACGCGCGCAGTGAGCCGCAGTGAGCCGACACATGACCCTCGGCGCAAAGGTAGTTGATTTGAGGCCCACATGATCCCGAGGTCGATCTAACAATCTAACAATGGTCGCTAACAGCTCCATAATCCTTTCGGCCAACAAGACACTGTATAACTGTATAACGTAAGGAGAAAGGAGAACCAACATCCACATAACCCGCGAAAACCTTACAGTGCTCGATGGTCCGCTAAAACCGCGAAAGTGCCTTGCTATTTCCTAGTATTGTTTTCATTTTATTGTTCTTGTTCCCCAAACAGTTTACTGTTAGGGGTTCTCGATTCTTTCTCAAGCCCTTCTGTCACTGCTGGTGTCTGCCCTTTTCCGCTGGCCATGCAGCAGCATTTCTATTCATTTGTCTCCCAGGAGATTTCTTTACTTTTGTCTCCCTGGTTTCTGGACTTTTGTCTCCCAGGTTCGGTGCCTGCGCTGCTGGTGTCTGCCCTTTTCCGCTGGCCATGCAGCATTTCTATTCATTTGTCTCCTTCGTTGTCTTTCGTGTGATTTCTTTACTTTTGTCTCCCCAGGTTCGGTGCCTGCACTGCTGGTGTCCGCCCTTTTCCGCTCTACTCATTTGTCCCCTATGTATTCCTGTCTCCCTTTGTCTCCGGTCTTGTTGCCCTTGCGTTGGTTACTGTCAAGGGTTCTCAATGTCCGCCTTGTCTCCCTTTGTCTCTGGTCTTGTCTCCCTTCTTGTGGGCCACAGTGTCCTTTGTCTCCGGTCTTGTCTACCTTCTTGTTGGTCACTGTGTCCGCCTTGTCTCCTTTCTGTCTCTCCCTTCTTGTTGGTCACTGTGTCCGTCTTGTCTCCTTTTGTTTCCTTTCGTCTCCCTTCTTGTCTCCCTTCTTGTTGGTCATTGTGTCCGTCTTGTCTCCCCTCTGTTTCCTTTTGTCTCCCTTCTTGTCTCGTCATTCCTGGGAGACAACTGAATGGAAATGCTGCGTGGCCAGTGGGAAAAGGGCGGGCACCAGCAGCGCAGGCACAGAACCTGGGAGACAAAAGTGGAGCCACCAGCAGTGCAGGCACCGAACCTGGCAGACAAAAGTAAAGACATCACATGGGAATCAATGAATCGAAATGCTGCATGGCCAGCGGAAAAGGGCGGACGCCAGCAGCGCAGGGCACCGAACCTGGGAGACAAAAGTGAAGAAATCGCATGAAAGACACATGAATCGAAATGCTGCGTGGCCAGCGGAAAAGGGCGGACACCAGCAGTGCAGGCGCCGAACCTGGGAGACAAAAGTAAAGAAATCACATGGGAGACAAATGAATAGAAATGCTGCGTGGCCAGCGGAAAAGGGTAGGCACCAGCAGTGCAGGCACCAAACCTGGGAGACAAATGAATAGAAATATATAGAAATGCTGCATGGCCAGCGGAAAAGGGCGGACACCAGCAGTGATAGAAAGGGGATCTAGCCGTGCATGCGGGGGATGCCCCTAAGGTTTTTTAACTCAGACTAAAAGGAAGGAATTTAGGGCAAGAGTGCAGTTGCCGCAGATCCCCAACACCGGCCGCGGGCAAGCAGGGCTTTTGTTTTCTCCGTAAACTGGGGTTTGGCCAAAAGAGCCACCCATTTTGGCACGCCAAAACTTAACCACGCAAGATCAAACCCGGGGACAGCACCCCCCCCACGTACATACTTCAAGAACCCTAAAGTTTACGCTTCTTACTCTGTTCCAACATGACACTTGCGGTCTACAGCGGATCGGATTAACACGTCCATTTTGCGTGGCAGGTACAGCACGGTCAGATTTCCACACCCGCTTAAATTTATAATATTTATAAGGCTTTCAGGTGTGGAAATCTGACCGCAGCTGAGGCGTCGACATGTTGCACGTAGGATTCTAAGGGGAAAGGGTTTGTGATGTTTTGCAAGTCAAGAAGCGCAACTTTTGGCACCCCAGTGTAGTTACAAGAATTCTCAATTGGGGGAGGAACTCCTGCCGTCACCTCAACCCCCTTTTGGCACTCAAGATCCCCTAACTTGCCTGGGGGGCAATAACCGCGGACACATCTTAAGAAAGAATTGAGAACCCTTAACAGTAAACTGTTTGGGGAAATATGGACTTGGGAATGCTTCTTTGTTGTCCCGCCTGTTTGGGGTCTACGGTGGTGTCATTTTTCTAATGTCATGTTCTTTTACTTTTAGCGCGCGAGATAGGCCAAAGACATCCGAGATTAGGAAAATCCGCAGAACATGCGAAAAGCACGAAAACTGCTTTCTAGTTTTCTAGTCTTCTCAGGTTGTACTCCTGTTCTGCGCGACAAAGTCTTTGCTATCCTCAGGGGCCTGGAGAGGCCTCTTGAGGTCAAGCCGCACTTCAATTAGCAGTCGCTTGTCACGACAAGCAATGGTTAATTATTCTATAATGACGTGTCAAGAAGGCACTCCAGTCCGGCCAGGATGCCCACAGAAACCCATCGTAGAGGCCAAATGCTCAGCTGCTTGCCGGCTGCTTGTCAGACCTGTCTTCAAGCATCTTCAAATTGCTTTCGCCCGCTCCCAGGAGGCACTTTCTGTCACTCTGACGTCAGACTCTCCATTTCCATCCCTCATTCCTTTTCATCCGTCAGTGCCTCGCGCTTGTAGGAAAACAGCTGAGACCAGCATCCCGCGAGAGAAGAAAAAACACATCACTAGGAGCGGCAGCAGGATGGACGCCTCAGGCATGGCAAAACAAACAAAGTTCCAGAATCAGGCAGTCAATCAATACTACGGTCGCCTGATGCGTTCTTGAACAATCCATCCCCTCTGAAAGATGGAATATAGTACTGTAGGTAAAGCTTTTTGCACCCTTCGTGTAGTAGCAGCGGTGGAGTGTCTCAACAACTAGTGGGAGAATGGGAGAATATATTTCAAGGCGAGCTGAATGTTATCCCCCCCCAAGAAAACAGTCGAGGGCCTTGTGGAAACTAGAGGGGAGCCCCGGAGCCGGCTGTGAATGACATATTTCCATTTTGTGAGAGCTTCCAAACTCTTGCTATGTACATGATTTTGAACCTTTTCCAGTGTCTCGCTTCTGATGGTCCACGGTACAGCAGGATGGGAACGAAAGCTATTGTTGCTAAATGCCCTACCTTGACTCATGTGCTGGATCTTGAATTGTCTCAAATGCAGCCATGTAGCAGATTCATAAGAAAAGAAGCGAGACACCATGCTGCTATCCTCGGTCAGCGAAAGGAAAGCAAAGGAGCAACTCGCGAGCACAGCATCAGAATGAGTGTATGGATTGGCCGGCAATAATAATTTCTCTTGGGTCTCACTATTTCATGCTGAAAGAATGCTCTCCAAGGATCAACTGCTGCCAGAACGAGGCAAAGAAAGCACGTAGGCAGCACCATGCCACCGAGAAGCGGCAGCTTCTTTTGCAATGGGCCACTCCTGAGAAATGTAGGATTTCATTGAGCAACTTGCAGCAACAAATCGGTTACTTAGCGCGTTATGCGGCAAGCCACTTAGATGTAGGTGCCAACATGCGCCCTGTCACATCACCCACGGACTGCAAGATCATCATGTACAGGAGCAAGTGGCACTGCTGAGATTTGCCCTTGGAGGATCTCAATTGGTCTATAATACTATAACTTCAAAAAAACAAAGCGCCAATCAAAGCAGCCCGATTCGGGCACACAATTTCTGTGCAGAAAATGGCCAAAGTGCTGGATACGCTCCTGCGACGAAAGGAAGTAACGAAGGCAACGTGTAGGTTGCGGCGTAGGTGAGAAAATTGACCTGGCATCACGGTTTCCGACACATCAATTGGGACAGGGTTCCAGCGTTTCCAAACTTAGAAGAATGCAACAACCGTCAACCGTCATCGTGTCCCTTCCATGGATTCCATTCCTGGAGCTTTCTTACGAGAACCTATTCCAAGCGAAGAAGGAAGAATGATTTTGCAGAATGATTTTGCAACCTTCATCAAAACCAAGCCCAGTTGCTGTCTCAAAAAGGGATATCCTTGGAGATGACAAATGCGGTTGCTGTGCAGCCCGGTATCCAGTTTTGAATCGTGCTTGCTCGGGCTTCGTGTCACCATGCTAAAGACCATGACTGACACAGAACATTTGGCATGTGTTTGTTCTGCCGCAGGTTGATTGAAAACAATAACGCAATCACTCCGGCCCAACCAACAACAAAAAACTGTTTTTTCTAACCTGGATCGCAATATTATTTGTATACTTATATATATTTATAGAATGAAGGGAATCGTAGAGAGAAAAACAGTTAAAGAAAGGACAGAACGCTGTTCAAGCACTGGACAAAAAGGACACTGGGAGGTAGGTGGAGTCAATGCTACAACAGGGTCATGGGGTCATGGACAGGCCTTCCGATGAGCTGAGAAGGGTTCTCCATAATATGGATATATTCCTGTGCCTTGCCCTTTCCACAACAAGACTGCCCCAAGACTCTCCAACAAGAACGTCAAGAGTGGACTACAAGAGTGCCTCGCAACCACACTCGCCAGACAAGAGTGTTTGAACGAGTGTGCAACAAGAGCGCCCTTGCGCAAGAGAGTGGCCTACAAGAGTGTCCCACGTGCCTGTGCCCGACAAGAGTTTGCCCAAGACACAAGAGAACGCCCCAGAGCGTGTCACAAGACAGTGCCCCACAAGTGTCACAAGAGTCTCCGGCCAGAGTGTCCCATGCCAGTGCCACAAGAGCGCCCCCAACATTGTCAATTTTCCCAGTTCCCCACAAAGCTGTCCCACAAGACTGTGCCACAAAGTGTCCGACAAGAGCGCCCAAGAGTGTCTTACAACCGTATGCCAAGGTACCCCACAAGACAAGACTGCACCACAAGAGAGCCCCACAGGAGTGTCCGAAAGACTGTGCAAGCTTGCGGCGCAAGAGGAGCGGCCCGCAAGAGTGTTTTTGCCAAAGAGCGCCCCGCAAGAGCGCCCCACAAGGGTGTCCCACAACAGCACCGCAAGAGTAAGACTGCCCTGCAAGACTGCAAGAGTGCCCACAAGACTGTGCCACAAAGTGCCCCGCAAAAGCGTCCAAGAATCGGGCAAGAATCCACAGAGTGTGCCACACAAGTGCGACAAGAGTTTCCTGCAAGAGTCCCCCAAGAGAGCGCTCTAAAGGAGCGTTTCACAAGGGTGGCCACAAGAGAGCGCCTTACAAGACCATCCAACAAGAGTGGCTGACAAAAGTGTCCCACAAGAGCGTCAACCGTTTGTGTTTGAGTGTGTGTGGGGGTTCGGGTTTGTGGGCCCCATTTTTTCCTTTCTTTATTTCTGCCTTTCTTTCTTTCTTTCCTTCCTTCCTTCCTTCCTTATTGCTGTCTGCGTCCCCTGGATACTGACAAAAAACCAGTCGACTGTGCGCCGAGGCTCAACGTAGTATGTGGCAAGCCCACTGCATGTGGGCCTGGATGTTCCTCGTCCTCGTTCTTGTCCTTGCTGTCCTTGTTCTCGTCATCCGCACGTAGGAGAGCCGCAGCTTTCCTGAGAAGGAGGGGAAAACTACTTTGTTTCTTGTGAGTCTATCTACGAAGCTGAGGGCAGCACCGGGACAGGGGACACCATTTTCGATTTCTATATTTTTCATTCTTACATGTTTTCATACTAAAGCACCTGCGCACATTCCTGCGTCAAACTGCTTCGCGCGCGCCAGTGGAATTGTGCCTGCGCAAGTTCGCAAATTATGGGCCAGGTAACCTTTATGGTGGCGGCGTTTTCAACGCAAGAAACGCAAAGTAACTCTAGGAAGCATTGATGTGGACTTTCTCGACTTTCTGCAAGCCAGCTTTTGTCACTGTCGCGCTGCCATCGCCCTTGTGGTCTAGATGTCTACCGTAGCATTACGTTGATTTAAACCAATCAAACTTGGCATTGGAAATTGCAAAGCAAACATGAAGAAAATTCGAATAAAACAAGCTAATTACAGTAAATCGGACAGACGTTTAGACAAACATTAAAGCATAGGACAAATAAGACACACTATTCTAGAAAACGCAAACTGTATCCAGGCAAGACGAAAATCTAGAAGCAAGGATGCCACAAAAAGGATCACAAGTACAGAAACTAAAATCTGCAGAGGTAAAGCGGACTAAACAATCAAAAGTGTTCTAGGAAGGGTGTGGCGCGGGCAGCTATAGTGTCTTTATCCTTGGATAACTTTTTTGCGCGCGCATGGCCTGGCGTGGCCGGTGGCTAGTGGCCGTTGGCGAGACGCCGGGTGGCGGGCGCGGGAGTGCGTGGCCGTTGCCGTTCGCCGTGTGTAGGCCGGGTGAAGCCGGTGGCCATGGCTGGGATATGTGGGCGTCACAGTCTCGACAGACCACAAGGGGTCTACGCAGCAACATTGCCATGCGTTCAGTGCAGAGATGCGGTTACAATGAGCGCTGTATGGACAGGTTCCGCACGGATAGTTGCGAATCTGTCAAGTCACAGCTGAGCCCACTGGGGCACACCGCGCATCGCAATGACAGGTTTTTTCTCAGCTCTTTGCCTAAGAGAAGCGCAGATTGCAAGCAGCTTGGGCGGCTTGGCTTTAGCAGAGCGTTTTCTCTTCCATAACCCGGCCTCATCAGGCCTGTTGAGCGCAGGGACAGCGCCTGGCTGGACATGATGCGGTTATACTATGTTATACTTGTTCCTTTTGATGTCATTATCCAGGCTTCAGGGAAAAGGAATACGGCCGAGGTGAGCAGCAATACCCACCTTGTGTCCCGCCATGTGGAACCGATCAACTATAAACGTCATGTCCCCTGGCGCGGATCGTCCGCGGCGCCACGACAAGGCTCTGATCCACACCCCATGGGTCACGCAGGTAGCTCACTTGATCCAAGCCGTGCTACGATGCAGCGCGGCTTGATTATTGATGAAGGGTACGTGGAATTTCCAGAAATTGCAAAAGTCGGGCGACGCTTTCAATTTACCTGCGTTCGGTAAAAATTTTCGGCGGCTCATACTGAAGCTGTGCGCCAGTGCAGATCACACCCAGCAGCCGAGAGTTGACAGGCGGGTGGAACTTGAATCTACCGATTGGTTTCCACCAACCGCGTTTTTTGGGGCTCACGCTTTCACTCTTAGTGGCTTCTGCTAAGAGTTGAAGCAGCTCCAGCTGACCACGACATGATCGCAGACCAGAACTTAAGAACTCAAAAGATGGATAGTAGGTTGTTTTTGGTGTTGAGCACAGCTTCACAACCAACTTCGAGAAAGGCGCTCCGAGACAGACGACTTCACAAGCATGCAAAGATGGATCCCCAAAAGAGATATAGCGGAAGCCGGCAAGAGGTCTTGATATCATGTTTCCCTTGCCCGGAAGCCGGTAAAGGGTCTTGATATATGTTTCGCCTGGAGCAACTCAAGGAGAGCATTGCAAATCATCATGCTTAGGGGGGGAGGCTCAGAGGGTTTTGAAGATGACATCGCAATGTGGATCGCCGGTTTTCTGCAGCAGCATGGTTCACCTTCCTTCTGGTGGGAAGCGTGGTCCCCCGTCCTTCACAGTGGGAACCTATCTGAAGAAGAGCGCGCTGCTCCCTTCTGCGCGCCACCCCTAATCTTCAAACCCAGAATCTTGGCGCCAGACCTGACCATAAAAATCGACCTACCACGCCATTCATAGCCATTCATCAACCTTCATCTTGACTACCTTGCCACCCTTCTTCTTGAAGGTGGGGCGCGGATCTTCCAACAGTGTGTGTCTGCCGGGCAAAACTTGGTTGGAGGCAAAATAGTTCCCGTTAATCCTTGTGGTACGATACGATCAACTTCCCAGTATAATAACCGCAGGACACGCGCGCTCAGGTTGTCTTTCACGGTTCATGTCACCCGCAATGTGTCCATACTCATAGTGAGTTTGATTAGCTCATTCATGCGTACTTCCTCAGTCAAACATGCAAAGCCCTTCTCTGCTCATAAGCGGGAAAAAGCCCGCGTGAGTATTTTAGAACATTTCTCTGACAAGAGGTTCCTGTCGCAGGAACTCTCCTCAGTGAATTCGCTTCTCACCTGGCAACAAGTTCCTCACATTGAAACCTGCGTCAGTTGATTCACGTGCACAGTGCACAAAGAAACCTCTTGGAAAGGACTGTTGCTGTTGATTTGCGCAGTCCTTTCGTTCCTTGTCCTGAACCTTTCCTTTTCCTTTGTTGGAATACCACCAGGCTTGTTCAAAATGGTACCAGAAACCCATGGCCTCATACCACGCGCTCTTCCATGTCTTCTGACCGCTGCTTCTCCATCTCAGCAGCTTCTCTATGCTGGTCCTCTTTTCTCTTCTTCCACGTAACGTCGCGCCAACCATCAATTGCCTCCTCAACGGAAAACCACGTGTTAACCATCATATGCAGGTGGACCTTTCGAGTCATCGCTATTGCTGCTGGTTCTCTTCATGACCGTTCGCAAATGCTTGTGGCTCAAATCCGTATCAAGCCTCTTCCCAGTCATCTGTCCGGTGCGCTGCTACGACCTCGTCTGCAAAGCTCACCTGGGTCTTCCAGGACCACCGCTCCGCTACCGCTGAGAGAATGACTAGCGCGTGCGCCAATGTGGCGCAATCAGCGATCCCCTAAGCCTTGAGGAATCCAGTAACGCCAGCAGGCCCTGCGAAAAGGGAACGAACATCAATACAAACCCGCCTGGGCAACAGGGGCGGGAGTGGTCAGAGTGTGGGTCGAGCGGATTTGTCTTTTGTAACTTTTTCGCATGTCTCAACATTTTGCTAGTTTTGCAGTTACTGCGTTCGGGTCAGACCGTGTTGAGACGTTGAGACCCCGAATCTTTGTTGTGGGATTCCCCAGACCCTGTGCTCTTTGTTTAAGGTTGTGTTCCCTTGCTTTTCCTGTGTGGCTGCTTCTTCTGCGTCGTCCATGTTGTCTGGTTCCTTTTTGTTTCGATTGCGTTACTTATTTCTTCAGAAAGCAAAAACCACTGAAACGGCTTTTCAGACTATGCCAAACTTGTCACAGACAGCTTGGCAGGATTGCCCAAAACCATGTGCAGCCAAGTGTCTCATGCATTGGGTTGATCCAATCGACAAGCCTCTTGCCCAAGCTTTCTGATACCATGCCAGCTGCCCAAACCACTGCCGGCATGAGCTTGTCCTGCACCAAGGCGATGCGTTTGGTCGTTCACGTCTGCCACCACTTGCCTGGATCATGAGAGTGTCGAGGCCCCAGAACAACCTGCAGCATGCTTTCGCAAATGTACCACAGATGCGCGAGGTGCTCACATTTTAAACGCCAAGAACTTGAAGCTGAGGCTCTGAAAGCAAGCGGCCAAAACAAAGAATGTGGTTACTCCAAACCGAGGATTCTCCACGTCGCGTCCACTAACCTTGCAGCTAACAAGCAGAGCTTTTGCTCAGCCCAAGCCAAGCATTTCAAGCAATTGCGCCTGCAACAGCGAGAGGCCAAGTACCACAAGATTGCCCAAAGACATTCCTGCAAGTTGCGAACGCAAGATCTTGGGGGCGAAACGGCGAGGTGAGTGCAAAGCACGGCGCGGTAGCATCCGCGCCAATGTCATGTTCCAGCGATGTGGTTCTACAGTACTACTTCGATGGGCTGTGGCTTTAGTAGTGGGTTAGTTATCATATTTAGCTACAGGATTATTAACCATTTAGCTGCTTTAGCTAAGTCATTAGCTAAATAGTTAGCTAAGTGGTTAGCTAGATACTTAGCCAATGAAAATCACGCTGTGGAACAACAAGCTTGCTATGACTGCCCTGAAGTGAAACCATCAATACACGCAATGGAAACAGGCCTTTGCCTGCCAAAATGTGTGATGTCAATTATGTACAAGAAGCTGGTATAGACTTCACAACATTTGACTTTACTTGGCATACGCTGGCAATGCCAGCCCCAAAGAAGCCTGTTATGGCAGCCAAAAAGAAGCCTGTAATGGCAAGAAAGCTGCCAACAAAAAGCCTGTATTGGCAAGAAACCCTTGCAACAGCAAAGCGCAATTTACTCCAGGGCAATGGAATCAAAGTTGTGACTCTTTGGTCATTATGCGCGTACACACAACTGGTCAAAACCGGGCGCAAAGGAATTGCTGCAACTTGGCTGGAATTGTTGCGCCACACAGCATATGTATTCCCTTTGCCAACCTCCAGCAAAGACAACAAAGCCACCAAGCAGAAGGTTTTCCCAGCAAAAGCCACGTGCAGTTGAATTTGTCCAGCGCGCCTCCCAGACCCATCATTGCTCAAGAGCACCGCATCTCCTTGTGAGCAGGAAGCCCCATGCTGTGTGACTTGTAGCGACCAACTTCACATCCACCATTGGTCACAAGTGCCCCACTGTGCCAGCCAGCTTGTGGGGCAATTTGTGGTGCTTTTTTAATTGGTACTCCATAAGAGCAAAAGTGCTTTCACCAGTCAGGGCATGTAACTCTTTGGCTGCAACTTCTTCCAACACACTCTGTTCCAGATTGTTGGTATTGGCAATAGCGCTGCCAGTTTGTGGCACAAATCGACGCTTTCTTTCCATTGTCCAACATGCCAACATGACCTTGTGGGTTTTGAACGCACGCCCCAAATGCAATAATTATGATGTAAAATAGCTAGATAAGACAAGGGGGTCTATAACTTAAAAATAAAGATAAAAAAACGTCCAAACTCACTTCAAAAGTCCAACCAAAAGTCACCTCTCACCAGGCAAGTCCAAGCAAAACTCAAAAGTTCAAGGCAAAGTCCAAGCAAAACTCACAGGTTCAAAAGAAAGCTCAAGCGAAACTCAAGGAGCTAGGGAAACCAGGGAAGCGCCCACTCAGCGAGTTTTGGGCGAGCTTTGCGCGAGCTTTTGACGAGCTTTGGTAGAAGAAAACTAGACAAAAGCTCAAATCGAAGCTCAAAAACTGAATGCGCAAGCTTTTCACGAGCTTTCTGCGAGCTTAGCTCGAAATAAACTAGCGCCGAACTCACCACGACGCTCACGCCACGGGAAACTACTTTTGCGCGAGCTTTAGTTGGACTTTTCCTGAGTTTTGCTTGAACTTTTCATGATCAGTTGAATTTGCTTTGGACTTTCCTGTTGACTCTTGAGCTTCCATTGGACATCAGCACAGCACAAGCGAGTTTTAAGCGAGCTTGAAAACGAGTTTTGGGCGAGCTTTAAGCGAGCTTAAGAGGCCCCTGTCTTATCTGCTATTTTACGTCATAATGCAATAACCAATGATGCTTCTTGATGACTGTCCAGCCTATGCCAACCCACAATTCCAATGCTTTTTCTGATTCCCTTTGGATAGCTTCAGGTTCAACTGACACCAACCAAGTTGCTTGGAGCAAGTCCACCAAAAGTGCCAGCACTTGAACACATTCAGCTTCTTTCACCATGTGCTCTACACACACTTTCTTGATGCAATGCACCAAGATTAGGAGAACAGTGATTAATTCACTGGCAGTGCAGCTGAACTTGCTGCCTTTTCTGTGTTTTTGCATTCTCTCATCTGTAAAGAGCTTTTGCACATTGATGCCACACTGTTTCCACTGGCCTGGGCTGGCCCACAGACCAACATAGTCACCAAAGTTCTTCGAGGAGTCCATTTCTTTCCCAATGGATAAAATCCCATTGGAGCACAAACACGCCAACCTGTCCCATGAAGCAAAGACCTCTTCAGACTCAGTCAATAGAAGCTGGCAAACAGACGCCCACCTGGTCAGCGCACTGACACCATCATCATCCTCAGAATGGGGAAACACATTTTTGCACAGGCCACAAAACCTTGTGCCAGCATCGCACAGGCCAAAAAGTCATATATAGTTTTAAAATTGTATTCAAGATTTAACATTTTAGATTTGAATTCAGGATTGAATTCAGAATCTGAGTTCCAATCTCACTTCAAATTACAAAATTATCTGCATTCAAAAGCTATAGAATTTGAACTCAGAATCTGAATTCACATTCTAAAGACCAAATTTTGAAAATATAGTCAGGAAGCGGCCCAGCAATTTTACATGGTCCTTGTGGAGCAGACCTTTGGGAGTTTTTTGCAAAGCTTCCAGCAGAAGTGTAGCAGTCTTTTCTGCGGGCATCAAATTCTCTCTATTGCCAGCAGACTTCATCTTGTCAATGTCAGATCGGACCAGCAATCGGCTGAAGCCATCTTCTGCTTTGGGCTACTTAAAGCAGCTGCCAGCAAGCAACATCAAACCATGGGGAAAGAAGACTCCTTCCCAAAGCCTGTCTTCACTATTGCAGTGAACAGTTCTTCTCCCAGCAGCATTGACCCCCCAAAAGTTGTTTCTATGGCAAACAGCAGCTTGACCACAGGGAAGCCTGAGCCACCCCCATGGTGTGCCACAAATTCACCCACTACATCCAAGTAGCTCAAGCGTGAATAGGCTTGGCAATCTTGCACACACTCCTCCAAATTATGTAATAGGTCATAGCCAGTAACATGGCTAGCTCCATCTCTGTCACTTGGCCAGCAATGTGGTTGGAGGAGTTCAAAGCTGCCTGCAGAAACAAGCATTTCCAATTCCAGCCAGTGTTCAAAGCTTTTTCAAAAGCACCATCGTTCTTGCATGATGTGCTCTGCAGAGAGGACCTTTCCAAAGGCTTCCTGCTCAGTTCTGCATCCAGCATTGACAGCTTTCGCAAACTGGCTCATATGGCTTGAACACTCAAAGTCAACCATCGTTCTTTACCACTGAGCTGCGCAAGTTTGCCACCAGCCCCTTCTACCAGCAACTGCATGGCTTTGAGGTGGGATACCCTTGTGCTGCAATCAGAGCTGAGCTCTATGCACCAGCTTTCACTCAACCTTTCACGCGCACATCCAACACACAGCCATGTTAATTTTTGCTACTAATTAGAAGGAGTATAATTTGTTATAACAATTTACTACAAACTTGGTAGGGACATAGCATATACTTACCAGTGCGTGTAAACTAGGTAACCCACTACTAAAATCACAGCCCATCAAAGTATCATTGCCTCGCCGCAACGCAACGCGCATCTCGCAAAGAAGCGGTATTTTAAATATCGGCAGGTCCTACTCCAACTGCTTTGGTGCATGGCGGCGGATGCCGCATGACCAATGACCTCAATGTCAATACGCTTGTCGCCACCCCTTTCCACTCTTGGCCCATTGGCTGCGTTGCTGCATGCATCAGCTGCGAAGATCTCCCAACGCCAAGCTAAGAGTAAAGGAGGGTTGCGACGTGTCCTGTATATACTTACCTATTGACAGGTATGGTGTCAAAGGGCCACTGCTGCCACGACAAATCAGTGCTGCGCACTGTACGCAATGCGGAGATATTTACGGGCTCTACACCCTACATCTTTGCGCTCCTTGCTAAGAGCTTAACCTCTGAGCCTGCCTGTGACAGATGACGTGAAGCACTCAGCGCAGCAGCTTGGCCTGGTTGTGTCATCTCTACATTCAGCGCTAGGTAGGGAACGTGCTGCGACTCTGCTTGGCAATCTCTTTCTCTTTTGCTGCTACTACTTTGACTTTGCCACTGGTTTGTGTTCAGCTCTGTAAAATTATTCTAGAACGCCTGCCGTAATAAGAAAACACATATACAGTTGGTTGACATATAAATAGATACATGGTTAAGTCTTTTGCGCGCAGACAGATACATAGTGGTAGGTATATTCCGCAAAAGCATTCGTATTGTTCTAATGAAATGTTACTCGCTTTGCTTGCAGCAATTTCTCGCGCAAGGCCTACAACCACATGACCATGCAGGGAAAGAAGCCTTTGCTTGTGCGCTACAAGCTTGATGGGGCTTGAAGAATCTCCAATGGGTCGATTCCTACCTGGAGACCACTGAGAACAAAGATATTGCTGAGAGTGGTTGGACGACTGAGGACAAAATCTTTTTGTTTGCTTTTATGGGAACAGGGGCCGGAAAGAACCAATTTCAGTCCTGGGATGAGCGCACCAAGAAGCATGATCCAAACAGAAACATGTCAAACAAGAGCCATGAACCTGCGCCCCAACCTCATCAAAACTGAGAAACCAAGCTTCGTCGAGCTCAATTCTCACTTGCGCATTGCTCAAAAGGAAATCTTTGAGTGTGGCATGTGCTCAAGAAAGCTTGCAGGCCCCTGGCAGGGCTGAATGTAGCAGGGGGCTCCATAGCGATCAAGTTATTCTTTTGGCGTCATTCAAGCGCCGACGGGTGGCAGAAAACTGTCCTTGTTCCAAGACGCGCAAGCGGCTGAAGCAACAGGACTTAGAGATTTGGCAGGCCCAGAGCTTGCCACGCCTTGAGAAATTTGCAAGAAGAAGATGGGCGCTGGCGCAAGCACTGTGCATGATGATGCCCCATGAAGTATTTGGCGCAGTCACGAGCAAGAAAAAAATTTCAGGGAGCAAGCCTTTCCCTCAAAGTGACAAAGCTGCTTTTCGAAGCAAAACTGCCGCCAGCAAGAAGGTAAATGCATTCACGTCGGCTTTGGCTTGATGGAATTTCCATGGGGTCGAACTAAAGCTTTATTGTAACCTCGCTGATCCAACCTTGAAAAAGTTGAGAAAAGCGCTGGCTGTTTGAAAAAGAAATTGGGGTTCCAAGGTGCCACTGTGACAGCGAGTTTGAGAGCCAGGAGAAGATCATTCTTGATTATTTACAACCAGTAACCAACATTTCTCGACTTTTCAACTTTCGTGGCACCTCGCTTGGCGCAATCGAAAATGGTTGGCTGCGTGTTATTGACATGGGGATTGCTGCAGATTCCAGGAACCACATCAAGGCAGCCTTGCAATTCTATACGCGAAAGCATTGTCATACAAATGCATCACTATCTTGACACTTGGAAGGTTGAGGAAAGAATCAAAGAACTGAAGCCAAAGAAGCCCTAATTTGAGTCAGCGCCGGCGAAATCAGGAGTTCAGAATCAGGAGTTCGATTCCTTGGTTTGTGGAAGTGGCAAAAGAACTGTGAAAAAGAGGAGAGCAGGCTGCTGATTTTGTACAATTGCGCATCAAAAATCTGACGTGATTTTGTACGCCGCCGATCTCGAACGCGCCTCCCAAAACTTGTCTTCTTTTACTACTAGTTCAGGTTTTCCTTGCAATTATTTTTTGACGCCGATTCTCCGCCACCGCCTCTGGCAAAAAGAATGCGACTCATGGAAAAACAAACGCGGCCGGCTGCGTTTTTCCTGTTTTTCTGCCTCCGGCAGCCTCAGCCCCTCCACGCAGGATAGAATCCTCTAGAGCTACTTCTGGGTATTGGGCTCCGCGTGACCTCCCACAAGGTACTGGTGACTTCGAGTGTCCCTTCCCGACTTGCGGCCGACGTTTCGATTCTAAACAATCCCTCTCGAATCACGTGATTCACTAACATCGTTCTGGAACTTACCGAGACCGTACCTGGGATTTCCCTCACTGCCCTTGTTCGTTCGAACTCGAAGCTGCTTATACGCAACAAGTCCCCCTGCACGCCGCCGGAGCTTCCCCCTTTATTTGTTGCGTTTGCACTACCCACTTTCCAGGCAAAGACAGTGTTCGCGTGCGTATGAACCATCAACACCGGGTTAAGTTTTAAGGATATATGGACCTCCCCGTCCAATGTCCGTTGTGCTCCGCCCGTTTCCACCGAAGACAGATCTCGACTGTGCTGAGCACAGGCAACCGAGGCGCCCGTATGGCTGAGGCAGCCGGAAGGGCTCTCCAAGTCGCCCAGGCGTTCCGTGGTGGTTTTCGCCAACTGGCTGTCAACGAAAAATACTGCAAGAGCTGGGCCTCCCTGATCCCTCAGTTGAAGGTTCTGGAAAGGGGCGCGCCCTTGATGGTCGTGGGGCCGCTCGCGATGTTCACCATATGACAGGAGTGGGTTCGAACGTCGCTTCCCTTCGCTTACGATTTGCTCTTCTCCGGTTGGTGCTGTATTTTCCGTCTCCTCTGTTCTTCCTTATTCCTTCACCTTTCCACGTTACTGAGGGGGCAGTCCCCTGTAATTGATACTGCTCCCAAGCTTGTTCTCCGAGAGTTTCTTTTTCTCTCCTGGCCGCCTGTTCTCTCCTTCCTCTTCTCTCCGGTTCCCCCTGTCTCCGACCCCATTCATTTCTGCTGTCTTTCTTTGATTCGTTTTCGTTTCTTCTCGCCCCCTGTTGTGGTTTGGGCTGAGGGTGTGGTTTGGCTGCGCTCACCCTCCCCCTCAAGGATGGTGTTTCTGTTCCTCCCTTTTTGTTTTCTTCTTCTTTTTCGCCGCTACTGCTTTGGTATCTCCGCGCCCTGGGGTGCTCTGTCATCGCCCGTTGGACCTTACCTCCCGTGTTTGTTTGTTTGTTTGTTTGCTAGGGTATGCGTACTACCGCGTTTTTCTGTGTTTGTCCTTGCGTGAGAGTTACGCGAAGGAATGCCCTTTGCGGGCGATCGCCTTGTACCACACATCAAAAATTGTTGTGACCAAGCTAGTTAAGTTCAAGGGGCTCGCCAGAAAATTCATGCTTCTTTATCTAGCTCTGGAACAGGGCAGCCCTGGAGGCGTGTGGAAATTATAGCAAAAGTCCATTTGGTGCTGGAGTTGGCAGGGTTCGACTAAGTTCTTCTACTTGTAAAGATAAAAACTGGGGAGGCTCTGTGGCAGCTGCCCCTAAAGGGAAGAAACTTGTTTGAAAGTTTTGGCCAAATTCAGAGCTTAGCGCTTAAGAGCTCAGAACTTAGTGCCCGCCAGCGGTGAAAACACGTTGCGCAGTGCAATCTTGAGAACTGTTTACACATGACCGGGACACACGCAACCTTATTTTAAATTTCGGCTCAAGACCTGCTCTGCAAAAATAGCACGCAGGCCCAACACCCTGTGATGGCTGCTCCATTGGGGCCAGAAGAGGGAAACGCATCTTGAAACCAAAGAGCCCAGGACCAAGAAATACACTTTGTCCAACCTTTGAGGTGCGTGGGGCTTAGGCCCAATTGGATAGCCAAGTCTTGGTGGAGCCTGAGCTAGATGAAGGCGCTGCTGCAGAGCTTACCAGTGAAACTGATACGAACCTTCGGTGGCGCGTGAGAAGCCTGAGCTGGAAAGCATTGGCCTTGAAACAATCAACCTTGGGTTTGCTACTGCCGTTTACAAATTAGGCTGCCCCACTTGGACAGCGCAACCTGCTTCGAAAAAAGAGTCTGTGAGTTGCTCGCTTTCTGCTGCGTGGGTGGAGCAGCGTGCGTTTCGCTCTGAACAGAAATGGCTATCTCAAGGCCTACTGTTGCCACAAAGAGACCGTGAAAGACCTGGAAGTCCTTTCAAGGCTTTCAATCTCCTGCCATTGTATAAACCTTGAAAACCTTTTTGTGCTGGGCCCCTCATTGGAGACCCAGGGAATGACCTAAGCCAATCTCTTGCTTGATCAATGCAATGCGTATGTCTTCACCTCGTCTGAAAGAGTTTTGTGTTACCTGGGCGTGCTTCGACAGGATTAACCGATTAGCTCTAATGTGATCGGCTTTGTCCTCTATGATCCTCAGACCCGGCTCCACACTCATCTTCTCTACGACTTGCTGTCGAGTGGGTCTAGTTTCGGCCGCCTCATTCGCCCGCTGCTCCTCCACCCTCTTCTTGATGTATTCACTGAGCGCGAGCTCCCGGTTGATCACGGACAGAAACGGCGGGTTTCACCGATTGGTATGGTACCCTCCAGGCCCGTCTCCTCGCACAGCTGGTCCGCAGCAGTCTTCCACATGTGGAACGGTGCCAAATCGATAATGCTTAAATGCAAGACCGTGGCTCAAATCATAAGGCGATCCAATCTCCTTTCGTCTAGATTTCGAACCTCGATCGCCAGGATGTCGTCACGAAGCTTTGAGTAGTCGAAACCGTAATTCGATTGAGCGATCGGTATTGTCGACTTGATTTCCTCAATCGTAGCTTTCCAGCTATGCTGCGCGCCGTCCGGTAAAGCGTATACTTTTGGCCTAATGTTGCTGACAGCTCTCCACTATCGACCTCTTCTCCGCCCGGCTGGTCTCGGTCCTCAATCTCGTCGTTTTCCTCTTCGTGGCTCTGGCCAAGTTCCCCATTGTTCGTTTTCTCGGAATTGCCTCCTATGATGAAGACCGCTCTGCTCTGCGCTCTTCTCTTAGCCTTAGTGTTGCGCCCCCGTCGCGCCCCTCGCCCGGCTTTACCGTCAACAAGTAATATCGAATGCTACTGAGCGCCCTTCTACACCTTGAGCCAAAACAATCAAGCCAGCGCTACACGATACACGGCTATATATGCCGAGTTGTTCATGGGCCCTACATCTCTGCAGTGTATCATATATATATACACATATATATAAATATATTGTTTTTTGGTACACATATAACTACATATATATATACACACTGTGTATATACATATATGATATGCTTGCATACGCGCCTTCACGTGCTTTCTATGCTGAACTTGTTTGAAAGACCGCGTCCAAACTGCCTACGCCTCTGCTCTTGGCGTTCCCAAGGGACCAGTAAGTGAGGTCGGACAAACAGCCGAGCCCACCAGCGAAAACTGCTAGCGACAGCAGCCAAATACTGGCGCCTCCAAGTTCGCGGTCCTCAGGAGACAACGGCATGCCCAACCCATGGTCCCATAGAAGCACCAGCCAAGAAACCCAAAACACCGCCAATAACATCAGAATGAACAAGGACATCTGGCGCATCCCACTCACCACTATGCTAGCCTTGGCGTGCAAAGACTCACGAAGGTTAACAAAATGCCGCCTGTGAACCTGAACAACAAACCACGTTGTTACCATTTGTTGCCCATGCTACGTCAATTGCCCCGCAGTGATGCTCAATAACCTTGTAGCTGATGGAGAAAATATTGCCTGAAAGGTGATCAAAAGCCAAGAGCCATCGTGATCAGGCTGCTGTGTTGCAAGGCAATCTGCGCGAGCGTGAAGTACAAATATTCAATAACTTCATGTGAACTTCATCATTCACATTCGACAGCGCGTGACAGGCAAGGCCAGCTACTTTGCCCGCCCTTTCTACTTTGCCTGCTTGGACCATCATGGAGAGCTGTGTGCCCAGCGCTTGGCCCTCTGGCAAGCGATCAACCAACAATGGAAGTTGTGCAAAAATTGCGTTGCCAACCCACCAACTGCCTCAAATAGCAAGGCGGCGGAAACTTGAGGAATTTGCAGTCGCCATCCGCACTTTAAATTTAAACGATCGAACCTTTGCCGCCATGCCAATGTGTGCACATGACGCGATGCTCTGAGACGAGTTGCTCATGCCGAACCTGAGTTTCGCAACAGTATTGCAAGCTTCAAAGCGCATCTCAATATTGAACAATCCCAGACTTGAAAGGCTATTGGGCAGGAACCAACAATTGATGAAGCTGTGGCAACAAACTTGCAAGCGCCGATTGTTTAATCATTTTTGCACGACATCAATTTTGCGAGTTGAACAGAATAGACCACAGACTAAAGACTATAAAGTGAAAACCAGCTAGGCCACGCGGTAAACAGGAAGGTTGTGCCAATGCTGATGCCGCCCTTTTCTTCTTCATGATGGCGATGGTGACTCTCATGCGCTTGTGCCTTGGGATGGGGACAGGCTACAAGCCAAACATCTATGAAAAGGCCATTCAAAAGGAAATCGCGCACCCACCCTATACACTAGTGACTGAGGCTTCTTGTTCTTGTTGCTCCCCGCAAAACTGTGGGGGGGTTCTTGTTTTTCGCTCTGCGCCCGCCGCTCCGTCCTCCGTCCTCCGTCCCATCTTACACCACTCATCACACACCACTCATCCTACACCACTCATCACGCACCTCTCATCTTCCACCACTCATCTTACACCATTCATCACACGCCACTCATCTCACAACAATCATCACGCACCAATCATCTTACACCACTCGTCCTACACCACTCATCACACACCACTCATCTTACATCACTCATCTTTCACCACTCATCTTACACCACTCATCTGGACCACTCATCACGCACTATACTCATCACGCACCACTCATCTGACACCACTCATCTGGACCACTCATCACACACCACTCATCTTCAACCACTCATCTTACACCACTCATCACACACCACTCATCACAGACCACTCATCTCACACCACTCATCGCACACCACTCATCTTGCACCACTCATCACACGCCGCTCATCTCACACCACTCAACACACACACACACCACCCACTCATCCTACACCACTCATCACACACCAATCATCAAGCGCCGCACAGCTTACAACACTCATCTTGCGTGTGCCACTCCGCACCTGCCTTTCGTGTGGCAGGCACAGCCGCGGCGGCCACGAGGCTCTGTGTACCGCGCCTGCTGCATGATTGCCACGCGCGGCCCATTGCATCCCCATCACACACCACGCACCTCACACCACTCATCTCACACCACTCATCTCACACCACTCATCTTACACCACTCATCTTACACCACTCATCACACACCACTATCACACACCACGCATCTTACACCGCTCATCACACACCGCTCATCTTACCCCACTCATCTTACACAACTCATCACACCCCGCTCATCTTACACAACTCATCACACACCACTCATCTTACACCACTCATCTTACACCACTCATCACACCCCACTCATCTTCAATCACTCTTCACACACCACTCATCTCACACCACTCACCACACACCACTCACCTCACCCCATTCACTTATTCTCTTCTCAGTCTCTACTTCTCGTTGCTAATTCTTACAAGCTCAACATGCGGGGTTATCCGGTCCTTTTCTTGCCTGAACCTCCCAGCATTGTCACCGCAGAAGACAAACCTGGACCACCGTGACCCTACGGAAGGGGCGGTTTTGTAGCGGTCCAGGGATGTACTGGGAGGAGTGCAGAAGCCACGACGGTGAAAGCCGTTTTTGATCAAGGCTGATGAGGAAAAGGAGCGGGCCAAACCAACAGGATCCAAGAGGTTATGAGCCCAAGGTTCAGGCGTAGCACCGCGCGGTTGTGGCTGAGGCGGAGGAGGCAGCCGCCGGGCGAGGACGAAGATGGGTTGCCGCTGCTGATGAAGCCTTGGAGGAGGAACCGGTCAAAGGAGTTGCAGTTGGTGAGGTTGTTGAGCGCCCCTCAAAGAAGAGCGCGCGATCCAGAGAGCAGTGCATGACGGGTAAGGAAGCGGCAAAACCAGCCTTTATACTTGAAAAAACGGGCATCTCTGCTGGCTGGCGCTCCGTCTCTTGGGCTTGCGTGACTGAGGCTGGAGGCGACCAAAAAGCAGGGCAAGGGCGAAGGGCATATTGGTGAACCCCCGCGAGCGCCGCAGAATAATTTTGGAAGGTCACCGCTACTGCAAATTCACCTAGCCGGCTCCCAGGTGAACACCACGCACCTACCTGGTGTGTGGATTCAGCCGCCACCGCCCGCACTCAGCAACTTTTAATCGTCAGACTGCTTGATCAATCTAGATGGGCCTGCTGGGTGGAAACCCAACAGGCCCACCTTCCCAGCCCAGGGCGTGGTCAAGCAGAGCACTTGCGCTCCAGCACGTGCGCAAAGGAATCCTTGCGCGCCTATTTTTTTACAGGACATGGGGTTCCTGCAGATGATTACCCACATGGGCCCACATTCCCCGAACATTCAGCGAAACGGCATGTACCTGAGTGTTCAACAGATTCTGGCCGCTGCAGAAGTTATTCTAGTACGGAGCAATCTGTGGAGCTGGAAGCTGAGAACTGACGACTTTGTAGTACAACTTTAGTACGCGGAGTATCTGGGGAGCTGGAAGATGAGAACTGGCGACTTTCTAGTACAACTTTAGTACGCGGAGTATCTGGGGAGCTGGAAGATGAGAACTGGCGACTTTGTAGTACAACTTTAGTATGCGGAGCAAGCTGTGGAGCTGGAAGCTGAGAACTGACGACTTTGTAGTACAACTTGAGTACGCGGAGTATCTGGGGAGCTGGAAGATGAGAACTGGCGCGGAGTATCTGCGGGGCTGGAAGATGAGAACTGGCGACTTTGTAGTGCAACTTTAGTACGCGGAGCAAGCTGTGGAGCTGGAAGCTGAGAACTGACGACTTTGTAGTACAACTTGAGTACGCGGATGAGTCATCTCTCGCGGCTGAGTCATCTCCCGCGGCTGCTCTGGCGCCCCTGCAGCTGAGTCATGTCTCCCGACCACCCGGCTCTCTTGAGAGGTTGACAAATTTTGGCTACTTTGCTTACTCATAAGTGGCTGCCACAAAAGAGTCATCGTGACGTTAGTATGTGTGTACTTCACCTTCATGACAAACGATGTTCGCTTGGAATACACGAGTCGCTTGTCATGATCGTGACGTCGTTTACTCTCAGGTCGCCCTGTTCGTGGAAACTTCAGTGTGAAATTTGCGTTCTTCAGTTCTAGTTGAACCTCTTCAGCATTGTACTTGCACGACTAAGGTTGACGTTGCATTGCCGTTGCATCGACGCATCTACGTCTACACCCCCTCACCTCTCTACATTTACATCTTCACACGCTCACATCCGCAGATCTACCTCTCCACCTCACCACGCCCACACATCTGCACATCTATATCACATCTGTACATCCACACTGTCGCTCCTTCACATCTGTCCTGTCTTTCTTTCTTTCTACATATCTTTTCTCTCGTCTCTGTGCATTTACATCTTCGCACGCTATATCGCACCTGCACATCACACTGTCACTCCTTCACATCCACCCTCTCTTTCTATACATCTTTTCGACAGTGCTGGACAATTACATGTCTCGCTCTCGGGCCAACCGTCGTCTAGTTTCCTTGTGCATGGAGCAACCCCACCTTAAATTTTCAAAGAGGAGAGAGGAGAGGATATTATGACATATGAACAGCGTGCGAAAGAGTTTGGACACGGCTTTGTTGCATTAGAATGGTACAAGTAGTTCCCGGGCAAGCCGGCGGCGGGAGTTTCATATAAGAGCAAATTGACCTATAGGAGTGTCCACGTTCTCTCCAACATGCGCGTCCTCCAGTCAAACGCACACGCTCCGGACTTGTGCCCCCTGCAGGATCAGCAGCTCACAACAGCGTACTGGGTTGTAGCTTTGCCACGATAAGAGGGGTGTATGACGAGTGGTGTATGATGAGTGGTGTATTGACCAGCAGTTGAATGTCCTGTCCTGCGTAAATGCAACCAAATACTATCAGTATGAACTGTGCCAAACCTGCACGCCGCGAGAGATGACTCAGCAGCGAGAGATGGCTATAGCGAGAGCTGACTCAGCAGCGAGAGATAAATGAGCAGCGAGAGATGACTCAGTCGCGAGAGATGACTCACAGCAGCGAGGGCTGACTCAGCAGCGAGAGATGACTCCTCCACGTACTACACTTGTACTACAAAGTGGCCAGTTCTCAGCTTCCAGCTCCACAGGTTGTTCCGCGTGCTAAAGTTGTACTAGAAAGTCGCCAGTCAGTTCTCATCTTCCAGCTCCCCAGATGCTCCGCGTACTGCAGTTGTACTACACCGTCGCCAGTTCTCAGCTTCTAGCTGCACAGATTGCTCCGCGTACTAAAGTTGTACTACAAAGTCGCCAGTTCGCAGCTTCCAGCTCTACAGATTGCTCCGCGTACTAAAGTTGTACTTGAAAGTCGCCAGTTCTCAGCTTCCAGCTCTACAGATTGCTCCGCGTACTAAAGTTGTACTACAAAATCGCCAGTTCTCAGCTTCCAGCTCTACTGATTGCTCCGCGTACTAAAGTTGTACTACACAGTCGCCAGTTCTGAGCTTCCAGCTCTACAGATTGCTCCGCGTACTAAAGTTGTACTAGAAAGTCGCCAGTTCTCAGCTTCCAGCTCTACAGATTGCTCCGCGTACTAAAGTTGTACTAGAAAGTCGCCAGTTCTCAGCTTCCAGCTCCACAGATACTCCGCGTACTAAAGTTGTACTACAAAGTCGCCAGTTCTCATCGTCCAGCTCGCCAGATACTCCGTGTACTAAAGTTGTACTACAAAGTCGCCAGTTCTCAGCTTCCAGCTCACAGATTGCTCCGCGTACTAAAGTTGTACTACAAAGTCGCCAGTTCTCAGCTTCCAGCTCCCCAGATGCTGTGCCTGCCACGAAATCTGCCCATGGAGGTTCACAAAGTGCTGCGCCTGCCACGAAATGTGCACCTCGACGCTCACAAAGTGCTGTGCCTGCGAAGAAATCTGCACATGGAGGTTCACAAAGTGCTCCACAACGCATTTTGTATTGCGCCTGCCACGAAATCTGCACATGGAGGTGCACAAAGTGCTGTGCCTGCCACGAAATCTGCACATGGAGGTTCACAAAGTGCTGCGCCTACCACGACATCTGCACATGGAGGTTCACAAAGTGCTGCGCCTGCCACGAAATCTGCACATGGAGGTTCACAAAGTGCTGCACCTGCCACGAAATCTGCACCTGGAGCTGCCTGGAGCTTGAGCTGTTGAAACCAGAGCTGGTGTAAGAGCGGTGTATGATGACCGGTGTATGATGAGTGGTGTGTGATCAGTCGTGTATGATGAGTGGTGTATGATGAGTAGTGTATGATGAGTGGTGTATGAGGAGTGGTGTATGATGAGTGGTGTATGATGAGTGGTGTATGA